ATTTAATGTATGTCAAATTTGCTTAAAATGGTAATCGATTCCATATACTCGTTTACAAATATTTAATGTAGGCTACAAATCACCATGGCAGTGTTATTGTTTTGTTTTTAAGCAGGATGCAGTTTACAGTGATTTAAGCCAAAATGCAGTTAATTTATGTCTTGACTAATTCTATAATCAAAAATGTATTTTTTTTTTAAAAAAAATCTTTTTTTCTTCGACAGATCCATATGAAAACATTTGAAGACAATGCAAGAATTCAGAATATTAGAAGTTCAGCCATCTTCAGAACACAAATAAAGATATTTTTAAAGAAATATGAGAGATTTCTGTCCCCCTATTGACTCTAAAAAATTCAAAGATATCCAACATGAGAACATTTTACACAGTGTCCTACCACGGTATTGGGTGATGACCCTGTGGGCTCCACATCACCCCTAGAGCTGTCATCCATCTGTTAAAAAAACAGAACCATGAAAAACAAAATCTTGCATTGATATATTTGTTAGACTTGGAACAGTGGCAAGGGAGTGTCCGGTGAGTGTCAAACCAGTGGTGTAGTCTAGCTTTTTGTAGTGAGTATACTGTGATATACCAGCAGCGCCCCCTCCCCTCCCCTCCCCTCCCCCCCCCCCCCCGCCGCCACCACCCATTTGCGAAAAAATTTCAAAACTTGTGTGATATTCCTTTAATGTTCTGTCTTAATAGATTTGATTATTATTATTTTATAAATTACATTTTACTATGCAATTTCTTTCATTATTCCATCGAGTTACTTTATTTATCTCTATAAACTGTTGTATATTAAAGACATTTGAGCTTCTGTGTGTTTTAATAAACTATTATTAATATTATTAGGCCTACTTGAAGTACTCTGCTGTGCAATAGTAACATATTTCTTTTAAACTTTGACAGGTTGCATGAAGCAGGGGCGTCACTAGGTTTAGTTTAGGATCTAATGCTCACTATTAACCGGTTTCGTTACATGCAAAAGGCAGGGTTTTATAATCACTGTTGTCCCAAATGTGAGGTAGGTTAGTTAGGGGAGTTCAGGGTTTCCCTGAGAAAATTTTTATTTCTCTGATCTACATATGTGCATTTTAGGATGTTTTGAAGGCCAAAAAAAATTAGATAACAGCTTTAAAACCATGTCAGTGGGCAGCTGGGCAGCTGATTATTTCTCTCTCCTCATCAGCATCACCCTCTTTTTCTCTTTGTTTTTATCTTGCCCTGTCTCTTCCCCTCCTAAAGATGAGCTGTGACTGATATAGGCTTTTCATTTTTGTCTGTCAGTAAAGAAAGTAAACATGGGGTCAACTGATAAGTGGATTTTCCCTATGAATAATTTTTCTCGGACACGTTTATTCACTGAAAGCTAGTAAAGCTAGGTAATTAAGTTTATTAAATACATTCAAAACATATAGGCTACACATTCATTATTGATCTTATGACTAATACAGGGCCGTAGACAGGGCTTTATAATCAAAGAGGTCCTAAATTTGAGGTTGGTGCTTCAATTTTTTTGATTTCTCTGATGTGCATTTCAAGACGTTTAAAGAAAAAAAAGAATAAGAAATAGCTTTAAAACCATGTCAGTGGGCAGTAAATTCTCTCCCCCTCCGAAGGCTGAGCTTTTTTAATGTAATAAAGGCTACAATTTTTATTATATTCTCAATATGTACACATTCGTTATTAGTCTTGTGGCTAAAATGATGAAAACAGCTTTGTTAATGTTTCTTGTCCCCTCGCAATGACAGTAAACTATTAAATTGCATGAGTCACGTTACAGGTCTATTTATTTCACTTCAAAATGGCGAAATTACACAAAACTATAGTTTGCCTGATTATTTTTTGTCATTCGTTTAACATTCATGACCTAAAAAATGTACAATATGAAATGTTAAGTTTAGCCACTTACATCTTTTCTCGCACTTGCCTGTAAACTGAAGCGTCGAGTCACTCTGCTGAAATTCGCGCTCAGCAGCGTCTTTGAAATAAAGCCCGCCTACTTTGATTTGATTTGTCATCTCAAATATTCTGACATTGACGAGCAGTGACAGACCAATGAGGCTCAGATGAACACGAACACACAAACACACCCTGCGTCCTCTGTTTTTGACGTGCTCGCGCGCTGAATCTAATAAGATTAGGGAACACGAAATTCGGTCGCCTTACGTTGTTACGAATCCTCACGCTTTTTAAAGTGGGCTGTGGGCATACGGAGATCTTTGACATTTCCTTGTGGGCATACGCAAATCCTTGACATTTTCTAGTGGGTATACGGCGTATACCTGCGTATCACGTAGACTACACCACTGTGTCAAACCTAAAACTAACTTTCCCCCGCTTTACGTCGGTTTGGTGTGTCCCGGGAAAAAGCCAGGAACAGCAACACGCCCGACCATGACTCGTCACGATTCGTTCACGAATTAAATTAATAATTTACAGTAGCTATTGGATTTAATCAATCATCGAACAGGTGCGGGGTCAGGCGAGAGTAGGCTATAAAGAAGGTTTTAGCTGATGCCCAAGATCGCAGAATTTAAAATCACAGTCAAACGCAGAAGAGAAGAAATATAGGATTCCTTTTTAAGGAGTCAGATACATTCCAAGTTTACATTGCAAATACTAAAGGATACCTGGAAATCTTACCTTGTCTGAGTAAAAAGGGAATTTAGATGATGTAGGTCAGAGTCTAAACGTGACGACTTAACTTCAGAGTGATTCTATTCTCACTTCATTCAGTCATTCGATTGCTCTGATCTGACTTCCTGCTCTCCAGTTTATATCCACAGCAAAGGGAATCGACCAGAAATTATGATGAAACGAAAGCTATTCATTTGCATAAAGTAGCAAAGAGAGATGCAGATGAGCTACACCTAAAAATTCATAATAATGGGCCTCTTCGTATTTTACATTAGTGATTCAATGTAATGATTAGATAATCGACTGTAGCCTACAATAAACAATAGGCTACTCACAGATTTTAAAGTTTAATTATATAATCTTAAATGATAAAAACATAATAAAGGTTTTCCTTGCACGAGTTCACATCAACATGTAATTATTATGGTAAAGGTTATAAGTAGGCTACTTGGCGTGCTGTCTGGGTGGAGGGCTCCTCCGAGCTCCGAATTTCTGCCCAGGGTCTGACCCTTGTCTTGCATAAACATATTTCCTGCATGTGTTAATTGTTACATTACTTGCTTCAATGCTTGGTTTACCTTTGTCAATGCTTTTACTGTTTGTGTATAGAATATATTATTCTTATAATTTAGATCTTTATATACTGTATATGTTTTAAGAAGACACTCCATTTCTCTTGGCAAGATAAATACTTGTAGAATCACTATAAAACAACAGGCATGAAAAGTAAAAAGGCAATAGAAGTTATATATAATAGATATATAAGTGAAATGAGTACAGATATTTGAATAGCCGAAACAAGTCTGTATTAATAATTCCTAAAAAGCTGACATCAGTTTATCACAATCTTACACATCTCTGTTATTATCAATTAAGCTGACTTCACAATAAATCTTTCATAATGTATACACTTTGTTTGTTATAATTAGAGGATTTTCCAGCATACAAGATTCAGTTCTCAACAAAAAGTCTGTTTTAAGAGGTGAGGGGAGTTTATCTTAAATGTTTCTGATTGGCCTTTGCGTTCAAGAAATCAACACATGTCTGTGATTGGCTAAATCGCTCAATGCTGCAAGTATGTTATAGAAAGAAACTCTGGCCTGTAAATCGTTTCTATTAATGTACAAAAATGTATTCGTTTTTTATTAGTTTTTCTCATGGGTGCCCCCATTCATTTTGGCGTCACTTTGACACCGAATAACTTATCACCTGAGGCGTTCAAAGACTCCATTTGTCCATTATTTATTTCTAAAGAAACTCGGCAATGTATTAAAGGCTCCATTACCTTGTAGTTTTGGCCCCGTTGAAGCAGTTTTTGTAAAAATAAGCTAACAATTGCGTCATAATGAATCAACTCTCTGTCGCACAGTAAATTACCATAGGAGGAGAAGCTCGCAGGCAATCGAGGCAAATCGAAACCCTGAGCCTTGGAAGCCCTTCTAGTCCAAGGATAGAAAGGAAGAGGAGGGGGTTAAGTCTCGCTGCAGCCGGACCACCCCTATAAAGAGCTTTTGTGCTTCTTCCAGACCCCTTTTCAGTTCAGCCGGCTGGAAATGTTCTAATTGCTGTTTAAAGTTTAAAGTTCTCTGTTCAACTCTTGTCTGTTTGACACGTATGCCAAATATGTCGACTCTGTAAAATATGAAGTCAAACAGAAACTTGCTAGCTTTCGAAAAGAACTTTTGATTTCTGAGAAAAACTCTGGGACTTGCTGAGTTGGTTTTGTTATGTGTGTTTTTAATTCCTTTGACGTGCATTTTTGTCTTTGGTGTGTTTGAAAATGAGCAAGTTGAATTACTGGATATGTGTGTGCTGTCAGGTTTCTATTGGTTTCCTGCAGATTCTCCTCCTCTGAGCTCCTCAAACAGGTTCGGCACCATCATGATGAGAAAACATCACAACAGTAAAATCAGTGTTTCAGAGAACATCAACACACCCACATCATGTTATACACACCCAGGTAACAATGGCCATGTCAAAGGAAATTAAAAACACAAAATACTAGTTTTGCAGTATGCATGCAAATGTTCACCTATTTGCCTACATGTCCAGTATAAAACAAAGCATGTGTGGAATATCGTATCCCAAAATGCTTTTATTTTAACTGTCACTTTCCAGTGTGACAAATGAACTGATTTAACATTTTGATCATACTGCCAAGAGTTTTATTTCAGAGCTGATCTCTGTGGTCACCACTTGCACAGCTTAATATGTTCATGATAAAACATAGACATTGTTTTTTACAGTAAATATATTTAGATAGACTCTAAGGAACCACACTGAGAGACCTGACATGTTAAAATATTATACACTCTTATTTCAGCGCTGGCCCTGCGCTGTTAGAAAAGCCTGTAAAGAGTGCTGAAGAAAAAGACAGTGAAATGGAGGACAAGAAGAAAATTAAATCGTATGTGTGCTTGGAATTTTGTCTTTGTGTGTGTTTAAAAAATAAGCATAATTGTTGAGTAATTAGATGTGTTTGTGCTGTCAGGTTTCCGTTGGTTTCCTGCAGATCTCCCACTTCTGAGCTTCTCCACCATCCCGATGAGAAACTCCTGCAGGAGTTCTTCCAGAACGCACTCACCGCCGTTAGGAACATGGTGTGTTGGTTATTAAACAATATATAATCATCTTTTTACTGTTGTTTTTATTGTCACTGATATACATCATCTGACAGACATTTTCAATTTGTTTATCTAAAAGCAAAACCTTGCAGCATCTATTAGTTATGGCAAGAGGAATTCATGATGTAGTTCAGAGGAATGAAATATTCGTAATCATGTTCAGAGTGTGATTGTAGTCGTAAATCCTTGAAATGCCATTTTTGGGAACTCAAATCAATAAACAAAACTGTAAACATTTGAAGAGTTCAGATGCAAAAGCCTCTAAATGCCATTTGAAATTTTCTTCTAGAATGGTCATTTTTATCAAGCTTGTATATTTAAGTTCAGTAATTTCACATTTAATAGGTAATTATCATTGCCATTTAAGTGAAATCACTGAACTTAAATATACAAGCTTGATAAAAATGATCATTCTAGAAGAAAATTTCAAATGGCACTTAGAGGCTTTTGCATCTGAACTCTTCATTTAGAAATTGGGTCAAAATGCAGATGAATAGAGCATCTATTTAATTTGATTGAAAAAAAAAATGGTTTAATGCCATGTAAATTTGTTTATACTTACAGTATGCTATAACAGAGAAAGCCAATTTAAAAACTCTCAATTACAACTCAATTAATGACTTCATATTTTTTGCTATTATTATTATTATTGCATTATTTGCTATTTTTAATTTTGTAATTTCTATAATGTTGGTTACTAATTTGAATTAATTGTTCATAAACCATTTAAAAGTTTGGGCTCAGTAATCATGATAATAATACTTTCATTCCTCCAGAATTCTGTCAATTATATTAGAATGATTTCTGAAGGATCATGTGACACTGAAGAAAATTCAGCTTTTCCATCATAGAATTACACTTAAATCTGTCTTTAAATCGCTTTTATAAATCATCTGTCTTCTTCATGTGTGTTTGCACACAACTGTGTTTTTTAGGTGTTGGCAGAGACGCAGCGAGAAGAGGAAGGTGATGAAGAACAGAAGCCCATAGAGACACCACAGACTTCAAACTCTGCTACGGACCGTAAGAAAGCAGGGAAAAAGAAAGGTGAAGACCCTCCACTCCATCATACAGATGAGTTTCAGCACTGGTGTGTGTTGACATGAGGGTGTGTGTGTTTTAGGTGCTCCCACCCCTCCTCAGGTGCCCAGTCCTCTGCCCACAGTGGTGCAGAACCCTGAGGAGGTCAAGAGGAAGGCAGAGAGGAAGAGAATCAAACTGGAGTTCACATCCGCACTGAAACGTGAAGGTACGCCGTGAGCTTTTGGACGACATTGACATCGTCTCATGGTGCCTGTTGTGCTTTTGTATATCACTGTGTATGTCAGCAGTACAGAGCTTCAAGATGTGTTTGTGTGGGCGATGTACTGTATAAACAGTCAGAATGTGCTGTGTGTGTGTGTGTGTGCAGAACATGCGGTGAAGCTGCGTTTGGATCTGGTGAAGGCTCATGCCCTGAGGAACGTGAGCAGTCTTCAGCTGAGAGCAGAACAGGTCTACAGGAACATGGAGGAGTGGCTGGGAGCTCGCTTTCTGTCTGAGATCAACAGGTGAGAGGAGGAGGACACGGTCTCGGCTTTCTGGAGTGTAATCCATTTAGCTGAAGAGATGAAAGATGATTGTACTTATAAATGGCTGAATATCTCAAATAAACGGGTCGTATGTCACTCCCAAAACCACAATATAAAGCAAAAAAATAAATAATTGCTAAAAAAGAAAAACAAACCTATTATTACTAACAAATTATTAATTAAGATTAGCATAAATATAATTTACTACAACAAATACTGTGATTTATAAAATTTTGTTTTGCAATATAAATTCTTAGTCAACTCATTTTTTATATTTTAAATATACTTGAGCTTTACAATATAGGCCAAAAGTTTGGAATAATATATATTTTTTAAAATATTTTCTTAAGGTTTTTGCAAAAAGGCTCTTATGCTCACCAAGTCTGCATTTATTTAATAAAAAGTATTGGGATTTTTTATCACAATATTAATGTTAGTAATATTGTCATTTTTATTTCAATTTAAATAAAAATGTAATTTAAGCAGCCTTCAGTGTCATATGATCCTTTATAATAAGAAATATTTCATGAGCAGCAAATCAGCATATTAGAATGATTTCTGAAGGATCATGGGAAATAGAAATTGTAGTAATATTTCACTATATTTCTGTGTTTACTGTATTTTTGATCAAATTAAACAGGACTTATTTTAAAAACATTTTAAATTGTATTTTATTATTATTTCAACTTTTGACCAGTAGGGTCAATATTTTTAATACTTTTAATATATTTTCTTCTGTTCAATGAAAAAAATAAAAGATTTATTTATTTACCCTTAAAATATCATATTATGTGCTGCTCATCTCATCATACTGTAGACATGTATATGTGGATAATATGTTTGCATGTGTTTGCAGTATCGACCAGCTGACAGAGTTTGTGCGGAAGCACATTGAGAATGCAGTTCAGATCCATCATGAGCTCGTGCTGCAGAGCGCTGATTTCTGCGTGGATGGAGACACACGTGTGGTGACGAGTCCAGTATCCGCCACGCGCCGATCGCTGCTGGAACAGCCCAGAAACAGCACTCTCACAGTCCAACAGCTGCACGTCCTCTGTGCTCAGATGAGCAAGAGCGCCCCGACTGGTCAGACTCAGCGTTACTACACAACATGCCAGGGATAGTTCACCCAAAAATAACATTTTTGTCAGTTACATGTTTTTAGATTGAATAACTCCTTTAAAATTGTGTGCTAAACTGAATTAACAGAATGAGAGTTAAGCAGAACTGAACTGAATTGAACATGTTTCAGTTGAAGTTAGTAACTCTATTGTGTTGTGTGTTTAGGTCTGCTGTGCAGTAATGAGTTGACTGAAAATCTGCATGAATTAACTTCTCCTCATATGGGTAGTGATGTCCTGTCTGAGCCCTGGATGCATATCACTCCCTCACAGGTAATCTTCACTCAAACGCCTCCGTCTCGGACTAGCAGAGCAAATTATGGTTTATTGTTTGTCTTTGGTTGGAAACATTTTGCTTTGCAAACCATTGCTTAAAGTCCCCATGAAATCAAAATTGACCATACTTACTTTGTTTGCCTAAATTGATCGTTTTGTGGTGAACAATTCAAGCAAGTCAATCCACACACAAAAAAATGTTGGCTTCGTAATCTTTAATCAAATTTTGAAAATGCCCCTCCCCTCTGCATTGGAGGACCTTGCCCGATGACGTAGGCTTTACGGTTTGGGTGTTTCCTTAACATCCATAACCACGCCCCTCCAACTGACAGCTGCTGTGTGTTTGCGAGCGCCGAGCGAGCATTGATTGACAGCGTGTGTAAACTTGCATCATCCTCCATATCAGAATGAAACACCCATTTTTCTAGATCCAATCAGATGCTAGTTGGAAAAAAAAACACGCCCACTATTTTGCCTCATTTTTATTCCGTTTCTCTCGGAAATACGTCACAACACTGGGGAAAAGTCGTTTGCAACTTCCGGTTCACGGGGACTTTAAAGTTGACATGAAACAGAAGTTGTGATAGTCTTTTGTTCCCTAATGTGACGTATATCCAAGCTCCTCCAACCAGAAGATAAATATAGGGCGGGAAATCATTTCGTTCATCAGGAATTGATTGGATGGTTGTGGTTTGCTATTGGTGGATCTCATGTGAGTGACAGGTTGTCCCGCCCTCACGCCAGTGAACACATCATCAATCAGAAGAGAAGAGATGACGAAGTTTTTTTTTTTTATTAAGATTACAAGTCCACATTAATAATAATAAAAAAATATGTTCATTGTGCACTGATAAATCATTTATAAAATAAACTGCAATATTCCATAAAAAATAAGAATTGTCCATTTTGATGTCATGGTGACTTTAAGAAGAAAGTGTCTGAAATGTATTCATTTGAAAAGCAGAAGACAGAAAGTGTGGTTATTGCTTTGGCTTGGGTATATAAAAAAGAGACAACAACTTCCTGCTTAAATAGGAAATGCGTCCAAACTAAAAATTGTGGAAACAAAGGGTCTATAAATTTAGACTTGATCTGATTGGAATGTTAAATGTCAAATTGTTGGTACTAATTTACTAATATTAATAATCCACAATATGATTAGCAAATGTGATACACAGACAATTATAAATGAAAAATAAACTATAAAATCAAAAGGACTTTGGTGGAGCTCCAAGACAAAACGTGAAGAATACACAATTTTCAGATCATCGGTGTTAAGACATCGTAATTGACAAAAACAAATCATGTCAAATGAGACGATGCCTTACAGACGAGTCTTTTTGATTGTGTGTGTGTGTGTAGGTAGATGAGCTGGTGTGTGTATTAGCTCTGGACTCTGAGATGTTGGACTGGCGTCAGTTCCTGCTCAGCGCTGCTCTACCGTGGCCGTTTCCCTCTCAGATCGAGTTGTTAAAAACCCTCCAGCGCTTCAGAGCCGTCGACACTACAAGAACTGGACTCATCACACAAGAACAATACACACAGGTCTGTTACGCTCACACACATTTCACAGAACATCACTGCAAGGGTCATATTAAACAACACAGATCTAACACAAACACATGTCCACACAGTAGGCTACTATACAACATTTTTATAATGAAAATATGGTTGCAGTTCATTTTATTCCAATTGCTTGCTACTTTTACAATTAAAATTCAATTGTAGCAAAACCTCAAATATATTATTGCTCTACATTTATGTGTCCATCAGTTCAGTTTATCATCTGTTTTGTTCTATGATCAGGTTGAATTGTGGTTTTCCAGTGAAAGAGATCCTCCTGTCCCGGATGACCCAACTGAACCTCTGCTCTACGACAGACTAGCCAACCTTAAGAAGGTAATGCAACATGATCACAACACAATCTGCATTGATGTGCCTCTCAAACTTGTTAAATAGACTTCAGCTTTTGAGGTCCATCTGAGGTGCTGAAGATCAGAAATAGTTATTTTTCCTGAACAGTCTCAATAAAAGGCCTTTTTGAGGACACTTCTGAAGCTCTGAAAGTTGATTCCTCATGATTTGACTGACCCCGTTAATGCTTTGAACAGTTTGAACATCACTGGATACAGTAAATAGATTAACACTGATTGGTTTAAAATGTGACTCTTTGAGATGTTCTGAACATGTACAGTAATCTGTGTATGAACATGCATTTGTTTTCCCCCTTAGTTTTTCTTCAGTCTGTTTGCGAGCTCACACACATCTCGACTGATGCTGGACTATCTGAACATGCTGCTGTATTTCTGCTGTCATCCTGAACCGGCTCAGGGCTTCACCAGAGCGCTGGGCCTCGTGATCGGACACACACTGCACTATAAACACACCGGCCCACTTACACAGGTAACACATTTGTATGGCTGTCTATGTGAGGATATTAATTTATATAATGCAATCACTATCCCCTTACCCTAACCTTAATTACCATAACTAATTGCCTAACCTTAAGTATAAAACCAAGTCTTAACCCTCAAACAGCCCTTTAAAGGGCGTCAGAAAATGAGAACTGGCCAAAACGTCCTCACTTTACTGACTTTGTTCTCACTCAACTACAACTCAAACTGGTCCTCACAAAGATAACTGTACAAGCACAAACACACACAAAGTATGACACCGTTAACACTCTTCTGAGCTGATGAGTTTGTGGGTGAATTTCACAAAACCTGTCAAGAAGAGCTTGTTTGGGTCATATTTTACACCAAAATCAAAAGAAAGTAAATCGCTTTGGATAAAAGCGTCTGCTAAATGATTAAATGTAAATACTTATCGTTTTCTATTTGTCATTACTGTAATTTGCAAGCATCATTTATTAATTGCTCTTGTATTGGTTACTCCACTGTTCCTGCTGTAGTCTGTGCCGTATTTGGAGGGCGCTGGAGTCGAGGCTGATGGAGAGCTGGAGAGAGAGGAGGAGTCTGATGAAGTGGGCGTGTCAGTTGATGATGTGCTCAGAGTTCTGAGTCGTGGAGACGATCACGTCTCTTCATATCTGAACCGATTCCAGCCGAACCGCAGGAGCAGAGATGAATTCAGAGAGGTAGAACAGAACAGCTCTGATACAAACCTATAAAGATCCATCAGCCCATTTCAAACACCATTTCATTTGAACTATTTTAATTCAAAATATAAACAAATGAGAAACTTTTCCATTTAAAATAACAAGATGGAAAAAATACTTAACAAATCCACAAACATAGCTAAGTTATTAACCATAGCCAACATTTTGCATGTGTTATTCACTCTCGTAAGTTTCATAAATGTAGAGCTATTTTGTGAAATCTTTTGAGTCTGTGTTTCTGTAGATCAGCAGATCCCGAGTCTCTACAGGACTATATTTAATGTGTTGTTGTCTGTTCAGGAGCTGCTGAAGGTGTTTAAGGAGTTGGGTTTTAAGGATGAGGAGAGGATTGCGTTCTCCACACTTTCCCAGCATCCCTTTCTGCAGGATCTAATAGAAGGATCCTCACAGTACCTGCTTCACGTGAGTATAACACACAAACGAGTGATCTCACACACATACATCAATAATTTATTTTAATGATTGAATGATCTTAACAGAGATGATTTCAGGCACTAAGTGTATTAAAGTCCCCGTTAAACTTCAAGCAGAATTTACAAAACGAACTGATGTGACGTCATTTCAAACTAAATTTGGCCTAAACAAAGTTCGTTTGGGGAGTTCGAAACAGCTTGCTGATGCGAACTTTCCGCAAAAGCAAAATGCTATTCTTATGCTTAGCTAAAATGTTGCTGTTATATTTTGTCAGTTAGAGAAAAACGTGCAGCCCATATTTAAATATTCTGATGCATCAGATGTTCGCTAAAAGTATATCGCTGGTCACGTGTTTTGAACTTTGTTTTACCCCAAAGCGAAGAATGAAAAATAACTTTGTTGTGAGTATATCGGGCCTCAAATCTGCTTGCATTAAAACATCCATTCAGAAAAAATTTTATTACATGTTTCAATCAGAAATCTACACAGGAAAATTATATATTTACTGTAAATTCATATGTAAAAATTACAAATGAAGTTAAGAATTATGTTTTTATTAATTATGATTACATATCTTCTATATAGGACATTCACAGAATTTTCCAGACAAAACAAACTGAAGATCCACAAAGCTTCTCAACATGATTAACACTCAATAACAACACACACCAACACATGAATCACAAGGTGATGGTAATGCTATAAACATTAAAGTTGTATTTGGTATATTAATGGTTTTATTTAAAGTAATTTACATCTTAATTATGAAAAACAATGATCTGCTGAAATGATCCTTTAATAAACTAAATGTTTCTAAATGTATTTATTAACTGAAGTGGAGATACACATTTTGATTTAGTTGTGTATTCTTGTCTCATAGTACAGCAATATTGTCAAATCGAATCATTTGTGTGATTTGATGTAAAATCAACACTTATGTAAAGTAAAAAAATGTTATATATATATATATAATATAAAGAATATATGAGTGAAAGATTTATTTGAAAGGAGTATGTTAATGAATATATTAATGAATACACATGTATGAATAAAAATGTAAAGAAAATATAATAAAGAATGAACTACATCTATCTTTGGTCTCTGCGACATTAAGAATGTTCGCTTTTCTACCGTCTTCGCACAAGTCAGACACACAAACACATGCAGGTGAGATACATAACTTAACATTTGTCCAAAAATAATGAAAACAGAGCATAACCTTTTGAACACACAATCATCTCTTAAAATTACATGAAAATTGAAACCCCATAATGACATTTAAAAATCTCAGTCTGAAATTTACGTCTCAGAATGGAAGAGAAAAAAACAAAGTGGCATGGACTTGTGGACAGATTCATTCAAAATCAACGGGCTCTTCGGCATCATCCATTTCAACATCAGTCTGATTGTCTTGACCTGCAGCCCTTTCCAAGTTATTGACAAACGCATGCAACTCGTTTCTGTTCTTGAAATGTGCTGTAACCTGTGCTTTAATGTTATCCAGAATAGGGGGCATGGAAAAGCCATATTCCATAACGCTCCAAGTTTTAGAACCTTGTTGTTTGTACTTATATCCACCAGTGTGGATGCCAATCAGTTTGCAGTGTTCATCAAAAACTGGAGAGCCAGAAGATCCATGAAAGAAACAAGAGTTATAAGTAATCTGGTTTTTATATGCCGAAAGGTCCCATTTCTGTTCGGCGCACATCTCCATCATAACATGAATTAAATGCTCATTCTCAGACATGTGTTTATGTGCAGCCTCCTGTCGATTCTCTCTCTCAATGATGATGCAGGGGTCCATTTTCTTGACCCCTTCTCCTGGATGTCCCACAATGCAGATCTGACCTCTGTTAGGAGGGTTTGGACTGTAACATCTGAGCAATTCAGGATACTTAGCAATTTTATCAACCGAGTCCAATTCAAGCAGAGCATAGTCAAGATACCTGCCACTGTCATCTTTGCCATGAAAGTAAGCTATGAGTTGTTTAACTGGTATGTGCTTGGTCTTCTTTGCTTCCAAATCTTCATATCCAAATACTGCAGTGATTGTCTTTATGGAGAAAAGGTCAAGTTCTCCAATAACATGAGCATTAGTGAGGATGATGGCGCCGCTATGTTTGGCTTGCCACTTGCAACTTTGTTTGCTCCTGAGTTTTCTCATGCTGGATCTTGCCACCGTCTCTACAATCATTGTTTATGATCGCACAACTTTGCTGGACTTACGGTTCTCAACAAACTACTGCCTGAATGCCCAAACCTTAAAAACACCTCCGCCGCTGTCTGCTCTCCCTTCTCCATTCCAGAGCTATCCTGTCTATCTACTTCCAGGCAGTAAGCGCCGCAAGAGACGGGGTAGGAGAAGTGGGCTACACGTCAAAAGAAGGACTCACCTAAATTCTCTGTTGCGGAGGAGTGGTGTCGAACCAGGACCTGGCGGCTCGCGACTATGCTATCGGTGGCTTCGGCCCGTTAGCTCTGTCAACACTGGCGCTGACAACACTGGCGCTCCTTTTTCCTGTCATCGTCGTTCATTTGTCAATCATTCTTCTCGGGGTTCTACCCTAGACAATCTTCGTCCAATTCCTCGTGTGTCGTCTTCGCCTGTCAACTCGACTTCACTCTGTATGGCACTATGTAACACCAGATCGCTCAGCAACAAAACTTTTGTTCTAAACGATGTCATCACCACTAACAGTCTGGATTTGTTCTTTCTCACGGAGACCTGGTTATCTCCCGGTGATGTTAGTGCATTTTCTGAAATCCTTCCTTCTGGCTATTTGTTTCTGAACACTCCACGGCAAACGGGTAGGGGCGGGGGGATAGCTACTATATACAGACAGTCCCTGAAGTGTCGCCAACTGTCCACTAGAGGGTACTCCAGCTTTGAGTTGCAGACCTTTGTACTTACTCTACCTAATCCAATTTTCTGTGCAGTAATCTACAGGCCCCCAAAACTAAATGGACATTTCTTAACTGATTTCTCAGAGTTTTTGTCAGATTTTTTGGCAAAATTTGACAATATTTTAATTTGTGGTGATTTCAACATTCATGTTTGTTGCCCCTCTGATAAATCTGCTAATGATTTTAAAGCTCTTTTAGACTCATTAGACCTAGCCCAGTCCATATCCTGTCCTACTCATAGGCTAGGTCACACTCTTGACCTGATTATCTCGCGTGGGGTGACAGTGTCTTCCTGTGAGGTTTTGGATTTTCCCGTCTCTGATCACTCCCTCATACGTTTTGACATCTCTGCTGCTCCACCTCCACCCATATCCACTACCCATCGGCGTCGACGCCTTATTACTCCATCTACAGCTGAGGACTTCACCACCGCCTTTTCTGCTTCTAACATAACCTCCACTGTTGAAGTGACCCCGCATCTATCTCCAGAGTTTCTCCTCTCCTCATTCGACATCACCTGCTCCCGGATTATGGACTCAGTTGCACCCTACAGGGTGAAGTATGCAAATGGCTCTTCGGACCCTTGGCTGAGTGAGGTGACATGGACCCTCAGGCGACAGTGCAGGCAGGCTGAGCGGAAATGGAGAAGAGACAGGCTGCACGTATCATTGGAGGTTTTTAGAGACTGCCTTGTCATCTATCAGAGAGCCGTGAAGGAAGCTAAAAGTCAGTACCTCTCTAAGCTTATTAATAACAATAGCCACCGTCCTGGTATTTTATTCAGTACTATAAACTCTGTTATAAATCCAGCCCCTGTTGTATTGAATGATGCTTCAGTTAATACATGCAATGTTTTTAAAAAATATTTTATTGATAAGGTCCAGTCTGTTAGGCAAACTATCATACCAGCCCCTGTTGTCATTGTTCCCTCCCAGGCGACGCAATGTGTGCTGGAGAATTTTGAACTGGTTTCTGTTGTTGATCTTAAAAAAGCTGTTCATGACTTGAAGCCTACCTCCTGCCCTCTAGATACTGTCCCTGCTAGAATTCTGAAAGAAGCCATCGACATCGTATGCCCTTTCCTGGTCTCCTTCATGAATAGCTGTTTTAGTCTGGGCGTTGTTCCCAATCCTCTCAAGCACGCCATTGTAAGACCTCTTCTTAAGAAACCAAACCTTGATCCTTTAGTATTGTCTAATTTTCGCCCCATATCCCATCTGTCATTTTTGGCTAAGCTTATGGAAAAGCTTGTCTTCTCCCAGCTTCAGTCATACCTCGATCTGCATGGTATGGGGGACAAATTTCAATCTGGGTTTAAGTCTAGACATAGTACAGAGTCAGCCTTATTGAGGGTTCATAATGACATTCTTAGAGCCATGGATAACAAAAACTCAGTGGTTATGGTGCTGCTTGACCTTACGGCTGCTTTTGACACCGTCGACCATGCAATACTCATCGACCGGCTCCAACATGTTGTGGGTCTACAGGGCACGGTGCTAAAATGGTTCTCGTCATATCTCACCAACAGAACCTTCTCAGTAATGATTGATGACTTCTCCTCTTCAGCTGCCCCTTTATCATCTGGTGTGCCCCAGGGCTCTATTCTTGGTCCTTTACTGTTCTCTCTTTATATGCTGCCACTAGGTCAACTCATTTCTAAACACAAAGTTCAGTTTCATTTCTATGCTGACGACCTACAAGTCTACCTTCCTGTAGTTTTGAATAATCATTCAGCATTAGATCCCATCCATAACTGCATCCAGGACATTAAACGGTGGCTCTCTCAAAACTTTCTTCATTTGAATGAAGGTAAGACTGAGTATATACTTTTCACCCCGGACTCACCTTGTAGCTCTCTTAATTTTGGCCCTCTCACGCCCCAGTTTGCATCCACTGTACGTAACCTGGGTGTTGCTCTTGACAATAGATTGCATTTTGACAAACAGATTGGTGCAGTAGTTAAGATTAGCTTTTTCCAGCTGAGGCTCCTCAGTAAGGTGAAATCATTCCTGTCCCGTGCTGATCTAGAAAGAGCCATTCATGCATTTATCAGCTCAAGGCTAGATTACTGTAATGCCCTCTACACTGGGCTTAACCAATCTCTTCTCAACCGTCTTCAGATGGTTCAAAACGCAGCAGCCCGTCTCCTTACAAATGTCCATAAACATACTCATATCACCCCCGTCCTCTGTTCACTTCATTGGCTCCCGGTACGTTATAGGGTGGAGTATAAGGTCCTCATGTTTGTTTTTAAGGCCATTAATGGTCTGTCCCCGGCATACCTCTCTGAGCTGCTCACTATATACCAACCTGCCAGAACCCTCCGCTCCTCTCAGAGCACCTCTTTGATTATCCCCAAGTGTAGATACAAAAAGTTTGGAGGCCGTTCTTTTGCCATCCAGGGTCCTACTTTATGGAATGCCTTACCTGCTACCCTACGTAACATTACTGTGTTTAGTGTTTTTAAATCACAATTGAAAACATTTCTTTTCAGGAAGGCTTTTAACACGTAATCATTTGTTTTGTTTTTAGTGGTTGTGTTAGTTATTTTGTTGATTGCTTTGATTAGCTTTATCTTGCAATTTTTATATACTGTTATCTTTTTATGTATTTTATGGAAAGCGCTTTGTGCACCTTTCTGGGTGTTGTAATGGCGCTATATAAATAAAGATTGAATTGAATTGAATTGAATTGATGAATCTGTCAAAGAGTAAGAAGCCGGTTCCTATGGCGGATCCCTCCACTCGAATCTGACACACAGAGTCAGAGAGTCTTACGAGCTCCCTCACTTTCTTCACCTCCGAAAAATTCTCAACACTTTTATGATATTCTTCTCTGAAGAACTTCTGGACATCAGGGTTGTTCTTTAGTTTCTCTCGCTGCTTTACCGTCTTCCGTAAATCTTCACACTGATCACGCAGAATTTCTGCAATTTCTTCAGAATTGTCTATGGGTTTAGCTACATACCGTTTAGTTGAAGGATTGGTAGACTTTCTTGTTTTTCCATATTGTTTTTTTTTCTGCCCAGTGTTGATGGGATTCTGACATGGCCCGTTTTCTGCTGCGTCAGCATCTGAAGCTTCATTAGGCTCATTGCTGACATGAGTCTCATCATCCTGACTCTTTGGCTGATTGTTGTCACTGATAACAAATACCTGGAAAGTCTTTTCATTAAGCGTTTTT